CCCTCTGTAGAGTTCCTTAGCATCACAGCGCACAGCAACTTCAACCCCCGTGTCCCCCCCCCCCCCCCCGCCTTAAGTGATTCTCCTGCCTTAACCTCCCAAGCAGCTGGGACTACAGGCACCTGCCACAACGCCCAGCTATTTTTTGTTGTAGTTGTTTAGCTGGCCCCAGGCCGGGTTTGAACCTGCCACCTTCAGTGTGTATAGTTGGCACTGTAACCACTGTGCTAATCGGCACCAAGCCAAGATTTACCCCTGTTGTCAAATATTTTAAGTATTTCATTTCCTTTTAGTTATTGAGTAGTGTTGTATTATATAGATATACCACAATTTGTTTATGCCTTTCCTAGTTGAGGGACACTCAGATTGTTTCCTATAGTGAATGATTATAAACAAAGCTGTCATAAACATTCATACAGACTTTTTGAGAATGTAAGTTTTGATTTCATTTGGGTAAATACCTGGGGAGTAGAATTGCTGGGTTTTTTGTGGGTTTTTATTTATAATAAACTGCCAAATTGTTTTCCACATGGCTGTATTGTTTTGCACTTCTATCAGCAATACATGAATTTCCAGTTGCATCCTTGTCAGTACTTGGTACTATCATTTTTTTTTTTAGACTTTAGCTATTATATGTGTGTGTGGCATAATAGTTTTTCATACAGTTTCACAATGACTAATGATGTTAAGCATCTTTTCATGTGCATATCTGTCATCTATTTTCTTTAATGAAGTATCTATTCAAATGTTTTGCTCCTTCCCATTTTGAAAATAAAAAGGGTTGTTTTCCATCATTGAGTTCTTTTATATTCTGAATATGTGTCCTTTATCACTTATGAGAATTTTAAATCTTTTCATCTGTTTTGTGACTTGTCTTTTTATTTTTCTAATGTCTTTCAAAATAGCAGAAATTCTTCATTTTGATTAAGTTCAGTTTGTCAATTGTTTTTCTTTTATGAACTATACTTTTGGTTTCATATCTGAGATTTCAACGCCCAAAGTCAAAGATTTTGTTTTGTGTTATAGAAATTTTTAGGTTTAGGTTTTACGTACGTATAGTTAGGTCTGTAATAATGAACTGTAATTTTCTTTTTAAATCACAAACAAGGCAGATAGCTCACTAAAAAATAGTTATCGAATAGTGACTCTTTTATGTAGTGTCTTTGAATCACTACAGACTTAGAACATGTGAAGTTTTAGACTGGATCTAACTGTATAAAATTCATAATGGTGTTAATCATCAGTTTTAAATTTGATCCTAAGTTTGTATTAGTTTACTATAGATTAAATTAAAAAGTACTAATAGTGTCTTTATATTTAGTGGCTCAAAGGACCAAGTATGCCTTTTAAATAATAGTTTACTTGTTTATATGTTTCCTTTTTTTTTTGCAGTTTTTGGCTGGGGCTGGGTTTGAACCCACCACTTCTGGCATGTGGGACTGGCGCCCTATTCTTTTGAGCCACAGGTGCTGCCCTGTATGTTTTTATCATGGTTACAGACTTCTCAATTGACACTGGATTATGTTTAAGGTCATGTGACTAAGAGTTGATACAACAGAATTGATCAGATTTTGATACATATGTAAGAATATTTTTTTTTT